CCATTTTCGTAGATACTAGATGTATATATATTACCTTGCAAACCCAAAATCTCCTATCTTTAGCAATGGAGTTACTTCCTTTGAAGACAATAGTAAATTCTGAAAGTTGGAAAAGAAGAAAAACAGAACACAGTGACTACTAGTCTTTTACAATAGACCTCAAAACTACAACACAAGACAGAATCAATGGCGTTTTTTAAGCTAACCTGAGGCTTTAAATCACGGTGGATAAAATGCTTCTCTTCAAGTACTTGCAATCCTAAAGCTACAAACACAACACAAGAACAGAGATTCAAACATCAAAAAGCTTCCAAATTGAAAACACGAAGAAAACAAAAAACAAAAAGATAACTTTTTTATTACCCAGTTGCCTCATAAAATGCTTAGCAACAGCTTCAGGTACTTTTCCATGGCGATTGATGTACCCAGCAAGATCACCTCCACTACAATACTCCAACACAAGGAAAATCCTATCTCCAGTCTACAAAATTTTCAAAATCAGAACCCACAAAATCGAAATTAACCAAAATTGACCATCACAGAATCGAAATTGAACCTCGATTGCTTCGTAGAATCGGATGATATTGGGATGATCGATGGTACTGAGAATCGAAATCTCTTTGAGGAGATTATCTCTGACTTTAGGGCTAAGAAGTTTCTTATCAATCTCTTTAACGGCGACTTCTAAACCGGAAGATCGATGCTTGGCTAACCACACCACCGCGAACGAACCAAACCCGATTTTCGGGCCAAGTTCGTAGTCACCCACAAGTCGTGTCGCGTCCATCTGGGTTTTTGGGTTTTGACCCGGTTTTAGACTTTCGGGTCCTTACTTGAATCAACCTCCATTGTTTCTTCTACTACTACGAACAACACAAGATTTTCGAAACAGTGGGCAAGAGATCAAAATCAAAGCTTTTGTTTTTTTTCTGGATTTTTAGGAAGAACAAACTGTTTTTGTTAACGAAAGGAGACGATGTAAGTGATTGGATTTTATATAATGTTACAGTAAAGTAAAGCAATCAACG